GGGTGGTGTGGGGGGGGGGGGTGGAGTGAGGGAGGGCTGTTGTTCCAGATAATAAACCCCTCCTGGGTGCACCCCTTGACCCTAGCCATGCTGCAGCTGTTCTTGTTTTTCCAGTTGAAGAGCTGGTCACCCTTGAACAGGGGGCAAAAAGAGTGGGTGAAACGGGGGAGGCTCTGGGCTGGCCCTCAGGCTTACCAGGCACAGATGTTCAAAGCTCATTGTCAGGCTCACCAGAAAGCATGAGATGATGTAAAAAGAATCAGTGTGGTGGTTTTATTTGCCGTCTGCTTTTTGAGCCTTTAGAGCAGTGGGCCCCCAAACTCTGGGGAACATGGTTCAGAAGTGCACAGCGGAGCCTGGCCCAGCCCTCCATGTGGTGGGGAAGGAGCACACGCCCCTCCCCTGTATCCCTCCCCCCCAGCCTGTCCCTAGCTGTGCTCTGGTTGTGGCTGAAGTTCCACTCTAGGCTCCAGTCCCTCCCCTGCCACCGCAGTTCTTGACCCCAGTTCCACTCTCAGGCACAGCACTAGCCTGGGATCCTGGCAAGGGAGGTAGAAGAGTGGCCCAGGCTTATCAGGTAGTTGAGTTCACTATTTCCCCCCATCCTCGAAAGCAGGAGCCAGTGCTGGAGGGAGTCGGCTTAAAAGCTGGTTTTCCCTTTGTCCTCTCCGCCTCTCCGCCCCCCCACCCCATGCTGCTGGGCCTGGGGAGGCTACTCTGGCAGCAGCCCCTGTCTGCAGAGGGTCCCAACTCCCCACTGGGACCTCCCATGAACAAGGACTGCAGCAAGAGCAGCCTCTGTTCACAGCTTGCCCCAGTCACCACAAACAGAGGCTTCTCCAGCAGCAGTCCCTGTCCTCAGAGGCCCAGGCTGCCTGCTAACAGAGGCTGCTCTGCAGCAGCCCCTGTCCAGGAGGGGATCCCAGTGGAAATCCAGGGGCCACTGGACTTCAGGACTGAGGAAACCCACCTCAGTCCTGTCTTGCATCGGGTCCAGGAGCTACCCCCGCTGTGGCTCTGCAGTTTAAATGTAGTAGGAGCCGGGCTGCAGAAAACTTCAGAGCTGCAGTGGGGGTAGCTCCTTCTGAGCACCTTCACTTATCGACTACACGATTACACAGTTATCTGCTTCGTAACATCCTGACTCCTGGCCGCAGCTTCATTCCTTGCTCTGAGCCCAACCCTCGCCACAGCTCTAACCTTGATCCCAGACCACAGCCCTGCTCCCGGTTCCAGACCTGCCTCTAGTTGCAACCCTGGCCTTGGGCCCTGGCTCCCAACCTGGCAATGGCCCCACCCAGCAGGGCCCTAGCATAAAATTTTTGGGCCCAGTACAAACTTGTAGCATGGGCCCCCATCCCACACACATACCACAATTTACAGCCTGAGCTAGCCCCCGCCTTGCCGCACCTCTGGACCCTGATAAAGTCTAATCTTCCCTCCACAGGTGGGAGAACTGAGTAGGGGGTGCAGTCTGGGGTGAGAGGGGGTCTTGAGTTAGGATGCACTGGGGCCACTGTTTGAAGCTGTCCCCTAGCCACAGGGGGCTAGAAGCTGCTCTTTCTTTAACAATGAACTCTCATCTGTCCCCTCCACTGCAGGAGCTGCAGCTTTCAGGAAACCCCAATGATCATGGGCGAGGGATGGGCTCCTGGAGGGGGGTGACAACAGGACAGAGCAGCTGGCCAGCCTGGGGGGGGAGGGTGACCCCCCCCCCAGTTTGAAGCTGTCCCCTAGCCACAGGGGGCTAGAAGCTGCTCTTTCTTTAACAATGAACTCTCATCTGTCCCCTCCACTGCAGGAGCTGCAGCTTTCAGGAAACCCCAATGATCATGGGCGAGGGATGGGCTCCTGGAGGGGGGTGACAACAGGACAGAGCAGCTGGCCAGCCTGGGGGGGGAGGGTGACCCCCCCCCCAGTGATTGGAAAGGGCCCCAGCTCAGGGACAGTGGGGCAGGGGCTTGGTGCTGGCTGCGCTGCACGGTGGCAAGAGGGAGCTGCCCAGGTGCC